GAGGATGGACCCAAGAATCTATGTTTTAACAAGCCCTTTTGGTGATTCTATTACATTTAAAGTCTGAGAACCATTTTAGTAGAGGGGTGAGGTTCAGTGGGCCCAAGACACCATCTTTCCAGTGAGGTAAATCAATTCCCCTTTTATGGAGGACAGTGAGAAAGAAGTGCAAAGAGGCCAGAGGTGCTGCTTTGATAATAGGTCCTCATGGAAACATAAAGATAAGGGTATCCCCCAATGGATAAGTCTACCCTGTAGTCTGAAAGCTGGTAGTCTCAGAAAAAAATAGCAGGAGCAAACATGAAGACTTTTCTTCAGATGCCCCTTTTCTCATTTGTTAATGTTTTCTACCTTTTAAAGGATAAAGTTGAGAAAAAAGAATGATGGAGGAAGGTACTCACTAGCAGAAGAGAAAGAACACTAAATGATATAGGAAAAAATAGGTATTTTTCTTCCTTTATAATTAATCACTTACTTTTCTAAATCATATTAAATTTTTAGTCTCTGATCTGTTTTTCTAGTTGTGACCCCAGCAACAGGCCATTTGACTGTGATCATGTCATCAGCATGGACTGTAGTGCTATTTGCTTTTTGTACCTATTCATTTTCATGTTGACTTGTGTGTATTGTTTAGTGACACAATTTTTAAAATTTATTTATTTATTTATTTATTTAGAGACAGGATCTGGCTCTGTCACCCAGATTAGAGTGCAGTGGCATGATCTCAGCTTACTGCAACCTCCATCTCCTGGGTTCAAGTGATTCTCCTGCCTCAGCCTCCCAAGTAGCTGGGATTACAGGTGCCTGCCACCACACCCAGCTAATTTTTGTATTTTTAGTAGAGACAGGGTTTCACTGTGTTGGCCAGGCTGGTCTTGAACTCCTGACCTCTTGATCCACCCGCCTTAGCCTCCCAAAGTGCTGGGATTACCGCGAGCCACAATTTTTTTTTTTTTTTTTTTGAGATAGAGTCTCCACCCAGGCTGGAGTGCAGTGGCCTGATTCTTGACTCACTGCAACCACCATCTCCCAGGTTCAAGCGATTCTCCCACCTCAGCCTCCCGAGTAGCTGGGATTACAGGCACCCGCCATCATGCCAGGCTAATTTTTGTATTTTAGTAGAGATGGGGTTTCACTATGTTGGCCAGGCTGTTCTTGAACTCCTGACATCAGGTGATCTGCACGCCCTGACCCCCCCAAAGTGCTAGGATTACAGGTATGAGCCACCACACACAGCCAGTGACACAATTATTTATGTCCTTCATATTCACCTTGAGTTGAGATTATTTAAATTGCTTTGTAACCTTGAGTAGGTCATTTAATTGCAGTTTCAACTGCCTTCAAATCACAATGGAGCCTTGCCCAGTTAGCCACTAAAACAGCTGGTGATGGCAAGCACTTGTCACAATAATCCATACAGTTGGCATTTTCTATTTTAAGGTTAAAAAAAGATATATTTCCGAAGTATTTGTAATTGGGAAGAATTGTTTTTTTTGCTTCAGACAACCTTTTTAGAGGTTTAGAATAAAGTTATACCTCTTTGGGTACATATAGCCTTAACTAGACATGGATGCCAACCTCTTGTAAACACACTTAATTCCTTGCAGTCCAGAATGGAAGCTTGTTTCTATTAAATATTTAGTCTTTCCAGACACTGTTACAGGAATTTAAAAAAATGCTAAAGAATTCAAGCTGCCTCTGATTTCATCTGAACATGGAATTATAGTGGTAGTGATAGAGTAACTCAATAGTTACCTTGTTCCAAGAACTGTGCTTAATCTGTCATAACCCTATGGGCAGGTAGGTCTTTCATTCCTTTTATACAGATGAGAAAACTGAGGCACAGAGAACTCAACTGAGAGGCAGGAGCAGACTCAAATCAAAGTCTACTCATATCAAAGCTATGTCCTTAATCATCTAGTCTGCTAGATGGGCTAGCTTCTGGGCTAACTTCTGACAAGATTTGCACTTGGGGTCTTGATCAGCATAGCAGAGGTCTCAGGTAGTTGGTGGGAGAAGTGGGGTGTGCTTCAGCAGTATTAACCATTTGTTAGAGGAAAAAAAATCAGAAATCCTTGTTTTCGATCTCATTCAGATTCCTGGGCTTCATCGTAAAACTTCTGAATGAGACTCTTTCGGTTGAGACCCAGGAATCTGCATTTAAAATATGCTCCACATGTTGATTTTATGACTAATAAAAACTGCACCTGGTCAGGCATGGTGGCTTACTCCTATAAATCCTACACTTTGGGAGGCTGAAACAGGTGAAACACTTGAGGTCAGGGGTTCAAGACCAGCCTAATATGGTAAAACCTCATCTCTACTAAAATTTTAAAAACTAGCTGGGCTTGGTGGCACGAGCCTGTAATCCCAGCTACTTGGGAGGCTGAGGCAGAGAATCTCTTGAACCCAGGAGGCAGAGATTGCAGTGAGCTGAGATCATGCCACTGCACTCTAGTCTGGGCAACAGAGCGAGACTCTGTCTCAAAAACAAGCAAACAAAACACACACACACACACAAAGCAAAAACAAAAAACAACTACTGCATCTAATTGCTAGGCACCATTTCATGTCTATTTCAGTAATCTCTGGGCCCCAGTGTATCAGGAAGGGTTAAGACAAGGATATCCCTGCTCATCATTATTGGCAGAAACTTGAGTATTTTTATTTTTGTAGTATTTTTCTTTTTAAGCTGCTACACTAAATATTTGACTAACATCTAATATGTATATGCTATTGGAGGGAAAATTTATTTAAGGAGAACTGAAAAATCAACATTGATCTCTCCCCTAAAACAAACTCTGCCTGTCCCCCAACCCCAACCCTGCTGCATCTCCCAAATGATAGCTTGTCTCTCTTGTGGGCAATCCAAGGCCAATGTGATAAGAACATCCCATACTGAGTAAAACTATCCAAGCCTATATTAGCTTTGTATTGCTCCCATACCAAACTACCACATGTTCAGCAACTTAAATAATACAAATTTATTATCTTACAGTTCTGTAGGTCAGAAGTTTTGCACAGGTCTCATCAGACTAAAGTCAACATAGCAGTAATGTGTTCCTTTCTGGAGGCTCTAGGGGATAATCTTGTTCATGGCTCATTTGGATTGCTGGCAGAATTCAGTTCCTTTTGGTGGTAGGCCTGAGATCTCCATTTTTTTTCTGGATATAAAGGGAAGGCCATTCCCAGCTTCTAGAGGCCACCTGCATTCCTTCGCTCATGGTTCCTTTCCTTCATCTTCAAAGACAGCGACAGTAGGTCAAGCCCCTCTCATACTTTGAATCTTTCCTCTTTCTCCTTCTATTTTATCTCTTTGAGCCAGCAGAGAAAGGTTCTCTGCTTTTAAAGATTCATGTGATTAGATTGGGCCTGCCCAAATAATCCAAGGCAATCTGCCTCATCCCAAGGCCCATACCCTTAACAAACATCTGCAAAAGCCATTTTGCTGTGTAAGGTACCATATTCACAGGTTCTGGGGATTAGGATGCAGGCATCTTGGGGGATTTGAGTATTATTCTGCCTGTGACAGATGCCCTGTCTGCCTTTGTTGACAAATAAGATAGCAGTGGTTATCACTCCCAGCAGGGCTCCAAGCATTCATGCTGACGTACATGAGAAAATGTGACTTAACTGGATATCATTCTAAAACATTTCAGGGCCAGATTCCAAAACAATAGTTTTGAAAGGATGTCTTATGGCTTTTGTGTAGCCAAGCAGAGCTGCCACAACATTTATCTCTGTGAGTAGGAAAGGAAGGCGATTCATGTTGTGCCAGCTTCTCTGGTAGCTTGGATTCAGAAAAAAAATTCTGCTATGAAATAGGCACACCCATTCAGTCAGAATATTTGCTTTTAGTGACTCATTGCTTGCCATATCCTCCCCTGCTTCCACACCTTTGTTCATGCACTTCCAGCTGCTTGGTTTGCCCTTCTGTCTACCCATTTATCTATAATGATACACATTTATGACAAGTTTTGACACCTACTTATTCTAGGAAACATTTTCCAAGATGCTAAAAGTATGGCATCTACTCATTTTTCCCAATAACTGAAGTAAAATGTTAAAAAGAATCCATGTCAGCTGCCAGATTTCCCAAGACTGTTTTTGAGTTCTTCTCTATGATATCTTACTCCATAAATCTGTACGGCATTAAAGAAGCCCCTGTGGCATCTTGGATTTAGTAAGTACTTAGTAACTACTTACTGATTTGAAGTACTGAATTTAAGTAATTGGTTATATTATCTTTATACTAAAAGTCTGCAAGATGCGTGTATGTATTGTTTCCTTAGAATGTTCTAAACTAAAGAACATTGCTAAGAATGTCATAAAAACAAGTAAAACTGGTATTGTTAGAGGTGAGGGGTTTCCAGTTCATCTTTTACTAAATATGTTAATTCATAATCTGTCAGATTACCCAGAGGTATAATGGGGTAAGGGAGTGGACTTTTTTAGTGTGATGTATAATATATATGCAGAAAAACATAAAAATATGTGTACAGTTTGATGGATTTTCACAAACAGCTACCTCATAATCAGCACTCTATCGAGAAACCAGAATTCTCCTGGGTCCCCAGAAACTCTCCAGCTGCTTTCCAGTTGCTGCCATTCGTAGGAGTAATCACTGCCCTGATACTTTAAAAGTTTGAGAAGTAGACTTTTTTCTTTTTTTGAAGCAGAGTCTTGCTTTGTCACCCAGGCTGGAGTACAATGGCACGATCTTGGCTCACTGCAACCTCTGCCTCCTGGGTTCAAGCAGTCCTTCTGCCTCAGCCTCCCAAGTAGCTGGGATTAGAGGTGCCCACCACCATGCCCAGCTAAATTTTTTGTATTTCTAGTAGAGACAGGATTTCGCCATCTTAGCCAGGCTGGTCTCGAACTTCTGACCTCAGATGATCTGCCCACCTTGGCCTCCCAAAGTGCTGGGATTACAGGTGTGAGTCACAGTGCCAAGCCTGAAAAGTAGACTTTTTTTTTTTTTTTTTTTTTTTTTTTGAGACAGTCTCTTTCTGTTGTCCAGGCTGGAGTGCAGTGGCATGATTTCGGTTCACTGCAACCTCCGCCTCCCAGGTTCAAGTGATTCTCCTGCCTCAGCTTCCCAAGTAGCTGGGACTACAGGCGCACGCCACCATGCCCAGCTAATTTTTTTGTATTTTTAGTAGAAACAGGGTTTCACCATGTTAGCCAGGATAGTCTTGATCGCCTGACCTCATGATCCGCCTGCCTTGGCCTCCCAAAGTGCTGGGATTACAGGAATGAGCCACCGCGCCTGGCCGGGAAGTAGACTTTTTAAGATGCAGAAAGATATTCTCATAGATATTATTACAATCTTAGAAACAAATCTCTAAGCAAACATGTGTACGTTTACAGAGATTTGTTTTTAAATGTGACTCTTGTCCTGAAGGTACATTTAAACATGGAATAGTGAATTCTTTTCTAAGTGTTCTTGCATTATCAAATAGTTTGAGTTACAGATACAACTTTGACTCAGTTTATTATTTACCAGTATTTTTTGAGCACTTGTGATGGTTCAAAATTGTTATGGCTCAAATATTTATAGGCTGTATCATTTTCTGCATAGTTTTTATTGAGATCAAATAAAAAAAATTCCAATGTATTTTTTTCTGGACTTTCAGTTTAGGTTCATAGTAGATATTGAAGAACAATATATTATCAGGAAAAGTGGCAGTCTCCATGCTGTACATTTCAACTGTCTACTGTGACACTTTCCAAGAGAGTGAAAATTGAAATTGCTTGTAACAGAATGGAATGGGTAAACTCTTAGAGCAATTGGATTCAGAGCTGTAATGTCCCTCATTCCCCATCTACCCTCTGTGTTCAAGGATGTTTGCTGAAGCATTATTTCTAAAAATAAAACATAGAAAACCACCTTAGTTAGCAAGATGAATGCTTAAATAAATCATGGTATAGTCATAACATGGACTGTTACGAAGCATGAAAGGCATGCTTTCAAAAACTGAAAACTTTAAATAATATTAAGTAAAATTATATATAGCAAATACCAATTTTGTTTGGAAAGTTGTATATTCATACACATGTACATAGAAGAAAGATTGAAAATTTATAACATTTTGGTCTTGGTTATTTCTGAATGGTATGCTTGAGAGCAATAAATTTTATTATTTTCCAAATACTTTTAATTCTGAAATTGCTTTTCAACGATCAGAAAATAACTACACAGGATCCATTTTTTAAAAGGACACATAGGGCAGATAATTGATTTTTCCTGTGAAGTGAAGTCCTGGGGGAATTCAGACAGAACAAATACATGTTTTAGTCAAGAGGTTAGCAGAACTCTGTGCAACAGCAGCAGGACCACAGCCATCCAAAAGAGGTCTCTTTGAAATAATGGAATTTTCAATGCAATGTCACCTCATCTGACTTTCTATGTAGAAATTCCCAAAGACAACAGCCTGTGCACCTCCCAAATTGACTTTCAGCTTTTGTACACACAGGTCCAGTGTTCCAGGTGTAGAACCTAACTGTTCCAGATGTAATCTGGACAGAATATTTCCTTACATTCGTGCAGGATTTGTCTCTTGGTATTTCTTCCAGTGGTCCTAATCCTACTAGCGTGTGGCCATAAACAGCAAGAATAAGCCTTCCTCAGCACTGATGTTCTTTAAATATTTAAATGAATGTGTGGGTTTTTTTTTTTGAGATGGGGTTTCACCATGTTGGCCAGGATGGTCTCGATTTCCTGACCTCATGATCCACCCACCTCGGCCTCCCAAAGTGTTGGGATTACAGGTGTGAGCCACCACGCCTGGCCGTGAATGTGTATTTTTAACATTCATTGAAGTATAATTTAGGTATGGTAGACTGTGCACATTTACAGTGGACAATTACCTGTGTTTTGACAGGTGTATACATCCACAAAATCACCACAATCAAGATGTAGAACACTTTTATTTCCCCCAAAGTCTCCTCATGTTTCTTGCGTTCCATGCCTCCGTTCACCTGTTCCACATAACCTTTGTTCTGCTGTCACCATAGATTCTTTTGTATTTTCTAGCATTTCCTGTAAATGGGATCATTTACTGTATGTACTTAAAAAAAAACTGGCTTATAAAAGTCCTTAACTTTTTCTTTCACTTTATGAAGCAGTTTTATAACATGTATTCTTTACTTTTATGGAGCCATCATAAAAGATGTTTGAGACTTCCTCTTGAGATGATTAACCAGTCAGTGAAAATGCATTATACATTTTATAAGTGCAGTTGTTCTTGCCACACTTAAATAGTTGTATTGGACTATAGTCCTTGGGATATCTTCTGGTTTTAACACTGTATAATTCTATAAAATGTTTTCAGTTACTATTCAAAGGTAATGTTGAACATTTACTTGAAATTAGTCCAGTGAATATAATTGAAATTCAGTAAGATGTTAGGGATTTTTGTTGTTGTTGTGTTTTGTTTTTTCAGTTTTATTGTTTTCTAATTCTTTCAGGGAATCACAATGTATACTTAATTCTTCATGGTTTTTCACATGACAAAAACAATATTGCCATTTTCTTTTCTTTTTTAAGAGACAGGATCTCGCTATATTGCCCAGATTGGAGTGCAGTGGCTATTCACAGGAGTTAACATAGCACACTACAGACTTGTATTCCTGGGCCTCCTGCCTTGGCCTCCCAAGTAGCTGGGATTATAAGCTATACCACTGTGCCCAGCTCAACATTGCCATTTTTAAATTAGAGTGGCAAAGGAACATTTATAAAAAGAATATGGAAGCTCATAGGGTAGTCCTATTCCATAGGAAGAAAACCTGCTTGAATAAAATCTAAGTGGTAAGGTGAATACCACAATATATTTTAAGCTCCCCAACTATAATCAAATAGAAATGATGATGACATCCGTATTTTCATCTCTTGATTTTTTTATGGTTCTAAACCACACCCATTGTACAGGTTGCCCTTTCTACTGAGAGTAAGTTCCATTGAGATTAAAATCTGTAATAATAGGTAGAACACTTCAGTGTGAAATTGCTTCCTTTCTTTGGTCAAACACTAACTTTGGCAGAGGATAGACACAGCTTAGGAAGACTGAATTTTAAGTGTTCTGAATTGTTTTTCTGGACTTCCAAATCTCAAATGATAAGACCGGCAGAAGCAGGTATACAAAAATTTCCCTCTGTCGATAGCAATAAGATAGCCTCGGATTCCAGTGCTGCTTTTTAATGTAATTGTTAAATTGAGATAGTATTTCTTTTTTAAGTGCATTCTTGCTTTAGGACTCTAGATGGCTTTGCATAATCGATGCAAATAGGAACCTTGGTGTGACGATAATTCTCTTTTCGTTTTTCTGTTTGAAAACTTTCTTCCATAAGCACCGCTGGTTAGAGAAGAAAGGACTGTTTTGGTTTATTTAGGGTTGGATAAAAACATTAGACTCATAATTCTTGGTTGAGCTTTGATTTTCCTTTCAGGAATGGATATAAATTATTAGGAAATTGCTGAAATGGCTGAATGTACTCTTTCTGTGCCATCTAGATGTGTGCGTATTATTGCTTGGAAACTTGATGCTTTCAGTCTGATGCAAACAGCTCTTCCAGTCTATAGTTTCATTGTGGATAAGCAAAACTCCACTTTTTTCTAAGGAGATTTCACAGATTATAAAATATGGTAATAGAGGATATCTCCAGTACTCGGGATGTGATAAGATTCTATCCAAGCATCTGGAGTCTGAAGAAAATACCTAAATTGAAATAAATTCTTTATCATTATATTTGTTCTTCAGCATTTCCAAGTACTAAAATGTACTTGGGGAGAGCAACTTTCTTAAAAGATTTCTGCTGTTTCATTGAATATGGGAAGGGCCTGAAAGCTTTCAGAAAGATAATTTTGTTATAAATAGTATTCAAATGAGCAAGTTGCCCTTTAGTGAGCATTTTTAATGTTTCTGAGGCTGGCCAAAAAACTATATATCTTTACCCTACGCAGCCCGAGAAGCTGTAGCAGCGTTACCTTAAGTTCTTTTCTTAGGAAAGCAGAAAATGAGCAGTTCCCACCCTGTGTAAAGCTGAGAAGATCTTGAATGATGCATGTCGAGGAAACTTGGATACTGATACTGCTGGCAATTTACATAGGCCCCAGTGCCAAAGAATGAAAGACTCTTGAGTTTTCTTAAAAGAGGCCAGCTTTTACAAAGTTAAGTATGCTTTCTTTTTGCAGTGACCTGAGCTCTTAAACCTAAGTAGAGAATTAAGACTTGCTCAGCTTTGTGAAGCAGTCAACCATTTAAATTTATTTGTATGCACCACAGAATACTCTGTGGCTCTTGTTAGAGAAATGAACACATTATGACCAAGTAACCATGAAAAGTGAGTGCCATGGGAAAATTTTACATAGTTAAAAAAGAAAACAAAACACATGGCTTTCTTAGGAACCAGAATTGCCTTTCCTATATTATACCTGGAGTCCAACAAAGACTATGCCTTTGTACCAGTCCTTTTATAATGAATCAACCAATTGCTCAATTGTATTCTTGTGTAGGAGGGGGATAACATTCCTTTATGATTCCCAGTTTAGATCAGCTTACCACCCAAAGCATGATATTTGATTACCCTTATTATGTTTCTTTGCATAGCTACAAATGTTACTAATGGCATGGCCTTGTCTGCCTCTGTGATGAGTTCACAGTCAGTGCTGTAAAACGCACTATTGCTTGGTACCCTGGAAATATGAGCCCAAAGAGAATGGAGTAGCACTTTGGGGTTAGGGATAAACTGCAAAAACAAACCTCTTAAACTCCTGAATGTGCCACTGAGTGCCTGACAGCCTGTTTTTCCTTCTTAGTGCTGATTTTAATCTCTAAAGCTCCCTGTGTATGGGCCTCCATTGCTTTAAGAATTATAAAAGTTTACCTACCATTTCTGACCATGTTCTTCTATTAAAATTGAGGTTTCTAGGGTTCCCTCTTTCTCTTTTCTTCCAAATGTTTCCAACCCAGTTCTCGGTATTACAGGAAAAACAAGGTGTTGTCAGAAGCCACTGAATTCTTATCCCTATACCTATTCCAGATGAGGTGGGAGGTCAAGAGGCTTCTCCTTTTAAAATGTTGGAACCGTGGTCCCAGGCTTCTAGAATTTTTAGCTCATCAGTAAAAATATATTGTGCATGTAGTACTTGCAAGGTCTATATTTTTAATTTTTATATACTAAATGTTTATGTTATACATGTTTTACTTAATGTGTAGGTTTTATATATGCTAGGGTATATATGAAAATAAATGCTGCTGGATATGGTGGCTCATTCCTGTAATCCCAACACTTGGGGAGGCTGAGGTGGGTGGATTGCTTGAACGCAGGAGTTTAAGACCATCCTGGGCAACATGGCGAAACTCTGTCTCTACTAAAAGTACAAAAATTGGATGTAGTGGCACACGCCTGTAGTTCCAGCTACTTGGGAGGCTGAGGCAGGAAGATTAATTGAGCCCAGGAGTTTGAGGCTGCAGTGAACTGTGATTGTGCCACTGCACGCCAGCCTGGACAACAGAACAAGACCCTGTCTCAAAAAATAAATGAATGAATGCATGTATGCATGCTACTCAGGAGGCTATGTCTTGCTATGTTGCCCAGGCTGGGATTACAGGCATAAGCCACTAAAACTAAACTCAAAAGAATAAGAAGCCTAGCTCATAGAGTTTATGGAGGACTCCTCTTTTGCTAGGAGACTGCTGCTTCTTCCCAAGTGGAGCACAGACAGATCAGGAGTAAATAAGGAATGGGGCCTAGTTTTAGCAACAAGAGTAAGGATGATGGAAAATCAGGAAGAGAGCATCTTAGCAAACACAATATGTTAATAAGCAATGAGACGTGGGTTTGTTTCATTAGGGAGGGTGGAGTGGGGAGGAGTCTGGAGCAAACTCCCTTGCTGCTGCTATTTGAGTGCTCTCTGTATCACTAACATTGTGCTGGGTGCTTTTTGTACATTACCACTTCATCCTTGCAGCCAATCATAAAGGCAGACAGGCGTGAAGTGAAAAATAAAAATAAAAGATAAAATAAATGATTTAAAAAAACAATTGTTAATTGGAAAGAATTTATCATATCATTAACTAATATCTCATGGTACAATATACATACAAGATACTGTTTATTATTAATGAGTGAGTATAAAGTTATGTTTTATATAATCTTGATAATTTTGACTTTTTTTGTCCAACATGTGCTCACATTGTTCCTCTTTTGTTTTCTGATGTAGTTGGTGAAGTTCTACTATTTTCTTATGCTTATATGATTCGTATTTTTTGCAGTCCCCAATTTCTTTGCAGATGTATTTTTTAAAGATTTTTAAAGCTTTGATATCAAAACTACCCTTGCTACATAAGCAAGTAGCTTTAAAACAGATTATTGTTAATCCACTCAACGAGACATTCAGAAACAGTAGAACATCACAAATTCTGGAAGTGAAGAAGGAATGTCAGTCACTGTCCAGGCTCTTCTTTGTGGAATGTCTACTCCTCTCTTGGGATATCCCTTGAACTGTTTGTGTCATGGGATCGTGTCATAAGAAGCAAGTTAGGATTCTACTGAAAAAAAGCACTTTAAATATTTGTAAAGCTAATTTTGTTTCTTTAGTTTAAAAAATATATACATAGTTCTAATATTTACTTCCTACACTCTGGTGGGGATCATTGTTCTTAGTGACTCTTGTCTTCTGAGTAGACAAGGGTGTGACCTCAGTTTTCTCATCTGTGAAAACAGGGATGCCTTTTTAGGTGTTTGGGGAGGGGATTTTTTTTTTTTTTAACCACATTTGGTTTTGTACTTACTTTTTTTGCCTATTAACTCATCCTTCTAAGTCACACTCACTGGTTGGAAGTTTCTGTAAGGAATAGTGTTCAGGAATAGGAGTGACATATTAAGGTTTGCTTTTTATGTCAAGATTTTGGAAATAGTTACACCCAAAATGGAACTTTAAAAGCTTTCTTACTCTTAAGGCCCATCCAGTTTAAACCCCACCCTCTCAGGACAATTTGTCAGACCCATGTTTGAAGTATCTGCTGTTTTTTTCTTCTAGAATTCTGCTTGTACATTAATCAGTAGACTTGAATTATGATTGTATGTGTACATGTTTGCTATTTACGAGGCACAGCTGTTTATTGTTTGTGTTTTGTTTTTGAGGCAGAGTCTTGCTCTGTCACCCAGGCTAGAGTGCAGTGTGGCTATCAGGGCTTACTGCAGCCTTGTCCTCCCAGGCTCAAGAAATCCTCCTGAGGAGCTGGGACCACAGGCATGTATCACCATGTCCAGTTAATTTTTTTAAGACCTTTTTTTTTTTTTTAAATAGAAACAGAGTCTCCCTGTGTTGCCCAGGCTGGTCTTGAATTCCTGGCCTCAAGCAATCCACACGCCTTGGCCTCCCAAAGTGCTGGAATTACAGGTGTGAGCCACCATGCTAGGCCAATCATGTTAATTTTTAGAAAAAAATGAGGATTTGGAGTTCAGTTAGAATTGAGAAAGTAAAAAGAACCATGTACAGAAGAAATCGTTTTGTAAACCTCTATACTGGGCATCTAATTTCAATGCCTACATAAAAGAAGCTCAGATCTCTTTCTTAAATATCATGTAGAAAGATGATACCTTGGTTCCCTTGAGAACCTGTTTCACGACTTCATTACTTTTAGCCATTCAAGAGTCAGTGTGGTTTATTGAAAGGAGCATGGAACTGGGACTCGGACACACTGAAAATACTACCAGCTTTGACACTTACCAGTGGGTGACCTAGGCTGATTAGCTTGATCTCTCTGAATCTGTTTCCTTAGATGTTGAAATGGGAATAAGGATGGGTCCCAGAACTGAAAATACTGTGTGTGTGTGTATATGTGTGTGCAGAGTGAGTGTGTGCATGCACATGTGTATGTGTATAAATTTTTGTAGTGTAATAGTATTTTATTCCCATTTTACATAGGAAACCAATAATAATTCTCTTATATGTAATATTACTTTCAGTCCTGTTCCTTAGCTCACTGGGATGATGTGAACATCAGATGTGATAGTACATCTGAAAGTGCCTTATAAATTAGAAAACACTTAAATGTGAGATGTAATTTACCTTGATAATGGCACATGTTACTTACAATATCATGATGGTTTTCCTTAATCTTCAGTT